GGGGATAGGTGGGAGGAAGGACAGGTTAGGGAGGCGGGGATGAGCTGGGCTGGTTTTGGGATGCAGTGGGGGGAGGGGAGATTTTGAAGCTTGTGAAGTCCACATTGATACCATTGGGCTGCAGGGTTCCCAAGCGGAATATGAGGTGCTGTTCCTGCAACCTTCGGGTGGCATCGTTGTGGCACTGCAGGAGGCCCAGGATGGACATGTCGTCTGAGGAATGGGAGGGGGAGTTGAAATGGTTCGCGACTGGGAGGTGCAGTTGTTTAGTGCGAACCGAGCGTAGGTGTTCTGCAAAGCGGTCCCCAAGCCTCCACTTGGTTTACCCGATGTAGAGGAGGCCACAACGGGAACAGTGGATGCAGTATACCACATTAGCAGATGTGCAGGTGAACATCTGCTTGATGTGGAAAGTTTTCTTGGGGCCTGGGATGGGGGTTTGGGGGGAGGTGTAAGGGCAGGTGTAGCGCTTCCTGCGGTTGCAGGGAAAAGTGCCGGGTGTGGTGGGGCTGGAGGGGAGTGTGGAGCAGACAAGGGAGTTATGGAGAGAATGGTCCCTACTGAAAGCAGTTAAGGGTGGGGAGGGAAAAATGTCTTTGGTGGTGGGGTTGGATTGCAGATGGCGGAAGTGTCGGAGGATGATGCGTTGGATCCGGAGGTTGGTGGTGTGGTACGTGAGGACGAGGGGGATTCTGTTTTGGTTGTTATTGCGGGGAGGGGGTGTGAGGGATGAGTTGCGGGAAATGCGGGAGACACGGTCGAGGGCGTTCTCGACCACTGAGGGGGGCAATGTTGCGGTCCTTGAAAAACGAGGACATCTGAGATGTACGGGAGTGGAATGCCTCATCCTGGGAGCAGATGCGGCGGAGGCGAAGGAATTGGGAACATTTTTGCAGAAGGTGGATGGGAGGAGGTGTATTCTCGGTAGCTGTGGGAGTTGGTGGGCTTGAAATGGTTATCGGTTTCTAGGTGGTTGCCAGAGATGGAGACAGAGAGGTCCAGGAAGGAGAGCGAGGTATTAGAGATGGTTCAGGTGAACTTAAGGTTGGGGTGGAAGGTGTTGGTGAAGTGGATGAACTGTTCGAGCTCCTCGTGGGAGCACGAGGCAGCGCTGATACAGTCATCAATGTAACAGAGGAAGAGGTGGGGTTTAGGGCCAGTGTAGGTATCGAAGAGGGATTGTTCCACGTAATCTACAAAAACTGGCTCCTTAAATGAACAGGGACTCTTGATAAACTGTCAAAAACTATATATGTAAAAGACCGGAAGTTTACTGCATTATCACAATCTCTACAATGTTCGAGTAGTCAGTTGAGGGTGCGAGTGAGAAGGCATTCTGCCAGTAAGTTTTTTTTAAGACAAAGTTACATTAAGTGATTTATGCTGCAAAGCAGTGATGTATATATCCCTTGCATTATGTTTCTATTACTCAATGTTTTCACATTGATGATTTGGACCTCGTGATCAACTGGAATATTTGATCAACCATTCCTGGTCCCATAGTGGCCAGTAAATAAAAGGTTTGTTGCTAGTAGAAAACCAGAATGCTCTATATTATCACATTACCAAACAGAATGCACATATCAGACTACCAAACATAATTTGCCAAATCAGAAACATAATTCACAATACCAAACTCATAACACTATGCCATCAGATTACAAAACAGAATATACCGTACCACCACAATACCTATAGAACACAACACACCACATTACTTCTATTGATTTAGGGGCTGTGGCATCACTGGCGAGATCAGCACTTAATTTCCATCCCTATTTACTCTTGAGAAGAAGGTGGTGATTTTTAGGTATCCCACAATAATTTTAGAGAAGGAGTTCCAGGATTTTGACTCAGTGACAGGGGATGGTGATATATTTCCAAGTCAGGATGGTGAGATGCTTGGAAGGGAACTTTGCAGGTGATGGTGTTCCCATGTATCTGCTGTCCTTGTCCTTCTAGATGGAAGCATTTATAGGTTTGGAAGGTGCTGTCCAAGGTGAATGGGTGAATTTCTGCAATGCATCTTGTATATAATACACACTGCTGTTATCCATTGGCAGTGTAGCAACTGAATGTTTGTTTATCTGGTGCCAATTGATTGGGTAATTTGTCCTGGATAGTGCCAAACTTCTTGAAAATTGTTGGAACTGCACTCATCAGGCAAGTGGGAGTATTCCATCACACACCTGACTTGTACCTTGTAGATGGTGTACAGGCTTTGGGGATTTAGAAGGAGTGTTATTCATTGTAAGGTTTCTAACCCCAAGTCTGCTCTTGCAACCATGGCAGTTATAGGACTAAGCCAGTTCAGTATCTGGTCAAGATATTGATAGTGGACGATTCAACAATTGTAATGCCATTGAATGTCAAGGGGTGAAGGTTAAACTGTCTCTTGTTGGAGATGGTCATTGTCTGGTACTTGTATGGCACTTGGCACTTGTCAGCCCAAAACCTAGTTGGTCTTGCTGCATTTGGACATGGACTACTTCAGTATCTGAGGAACCATGAATGATGCTGAACACTGTGCAATCATCCCTGAACATTCACACTTCTGAGCTTATGATGGAGGGAAGGTTATTAATGAAACACCTGAAGATGGCTCTGCCTAAGGACTGCCTGCAGTGATCTACTGGAAATGAGATGACTAAACCCCAACAACCACAAACATTTTCTTGTAGGTATTTATTCCAATCTCTAGAGAGCTTTCCCATGATTCCCATTGACTCCAGTGGTTTCTCAACACCACAATTGGTCAAATGCAGCCTTGATGTCAAAGGCAGTTACTCAGGCCTCACCTCTGGAGTTTGACTCATGTCCATGCTTGGACCAACACTGTACTGAGGTCAGAAGCTGAGTGTTCCAAACTGAGCATTACTGAGCAGGTTATTGCCAAGCAAGCGCTACTTGATGGCAGTGTTGATGATACCTACCATCTCTTCACTGATGATCGAGAGTAGACTGGTTGGTATATTTGTGGAGGCTCCTTCTCCTGTGAGTTGTTTAATTGTCCACACCATTCATGACTGGATGTGGCAGGCTTGCAAAGCTTAGATCTGATCCATTGGCTGTGGAATCACCACAGCTCTGTCTATCACTTGCTGCTTATGGTGTTTGGCATGCAGGTTTCACCTGTTTGAAGCTTAACCAGTTTGATACCTCATTTTTAAACATGCCCGATGCTGTTCCTGGCATGCCCTCCTGCACTCTCCATTGACCAAGGTTGATCCCTGAGTTTGATGGTAATCGTAGAGTTGGGGAATATACCGGACCATGATTGCATTGCTGCTGCTGATGGCCCACAGTGTCTTGCAGATACCCAGGCTGGAGTTGCTTGGATCTGCTTGAAGTCTGTCCCATTTAGCACATTGATAGTGGCAAACAACATTATGTAAGGTATTATTAATGTGAAGCGGGGGACTTCATCTCCACAATGATTCTGTGGTGGGTCACTGCACCTGATACAGTACTAGAACCATGCATCTGCAGGCAGGCAGGTTGGTGATGTCGAGGTCAAGTATGTTTTTCCCTAATGTCAGTTCCTTCACCACCTAGCGCAGACCCAGACTCACAGCTTGCCACCTTCAGTGTTTCTTCCAAGTGGTGTTCAACATGGGGGAATAGTGATTCATTAGCTGAGGGTGTCGCTGGTATGTAGTATTCAGCAGGAGATTCCCTTGCCCATGTTTTATCTGATGCATTGAGTCTTCATGAGTTCCAGAGTCAATGTTAAGGACAACTGCCCACTAAGGGTATAGCACTCTGCTGCCACCTCTGCTGCGCCTGTTCTGCCAGTGGGACAGAAATGTTTTCTGGGATATTGTATGTGAGGAACGACTCTACAAGTATAAATGTCAGGCCACTGTTGGGAGGCGGCTCTCCCTATTTTAACACTAGCCCTAGGATGTTGGTAAGAAGGACTTTGCAGGGTCAACAGGGATGGATTTGCTGTTGTTGTTCCCACGCCGAGGTCACACCAACAAACACAATACAGCTCATCGTAAAATGTAGAATCCCTACAGTGTGGAAGCAGGCCGTTTGGCCTACTGAGTCCACGTAACCCTCTGAAGGGCATCCACCCAGACCTACCCCCTTACCCTATCCTTGTAACCCTGCATTTGCCATGGCTAATCCACCTAGCCTGCACATGCCTGGGCACTACAGGGCAATTTAGCATGGCCAACCCAAATAACCTGCACATCTTTGGACTGTGAGAGGAAATTGGAGCACCTGAAGGAAATCCATGAAGACACAGGAAGAATGTGCAAATACAGACAGCCACCCAAGGTTGGAATCAAACCGGGGTCCCTTATGCTGCGAGACAGCAGTGCTAACCACCGAGCTACCATGCTGCCCAAAACCTCCTAACTGGTAGACCCACGCCACCACGATCAAACATAATACACCATGCCTTAGAATCCTTAATACTTCTGCACTGAGAACACAAAAAATAGAGGTTATCGCTGCTCATCAAAACTAAAGACTGAAATGGGAAACTATTTCAGTGCAGATAAAAAAAAATCAAAAGATAAGATGGGATAGTTTAAAAGATTATCTAAGGAATCTTCTGGTGACATTCACATGGGAAAAAGCGATTTATGGAAATAAGAAATTCCAATAATGAAGCAGCCCATATTGATCTCTTTGTTAAAAGCCAAAAATAGAAATTAACTTAATCTCTTTTGTACATTGGTAATTACACATTTACTGGCACTTTTCCACATGAGTGGGTTCCTCTGTAAACAACAACCCATTGTGCCATTTCTCCTGATATGTGTCAAGTGGAATTTCTGGCATTTCCGAGCTAGGTATCAATCAGCTCAATCAAGAGTAAAGCCATCTATTTCCCACTGATCTTCAATAGTCGGCAAGTGTCTCACTGTCAGTATTTTGAGTATTGACACCGGGGTTAACTGGATCAGGATACCAATGCTATGCCCACAGGATCAGCGCAAAAGCTAGTGTATGGTCAGTGGTTCATTTCCTAAACCCTCAAACCCTTCTCTCTATCTAGAAGGTTCACATCAGAGTTGTTGGTGGAATACTCACCACTCAGTTTTAGGAGTAACAGCCACAACAATGCTTGTGCAACATTTAACTGCAAAGAAATTAAAATTAACTTAATTAATGCCCCAGCCTTGGAACTGAATTACTGACGCACCATGGCTGTAGTAAAGTCTGTGCAATGTATAGGATCTACTGAAGAAATTCACTTTGAGGGTACCTCTCTGCTCTATGATCTCTACCAATAGGCGGAATAAGGGCAGTAATGTAATGAGAATATCATCACCCTCAGGTCACATATCATCACTCAACCAACACGCTGGAACTCACGACATTTTAGAGCTAAATCAAAAAAGAACGACAAGGAGAAGGCGTTAGTAACAGGCAGCTAGGATTGACCAAGAAAGACAACCTTATCAGAGTCACCCCACATCTCAAAAAACAAATAATTAAATGGCATTACCACGACTATCAACATCCTGGGGGTTAGCATTGATGAGAAAATGAACCAGAGCAGACTTAAAAAAATACTACAACCACAAAAGCAAGTCAGAGGCTAGGAATTCGTAAGCAACTAATTCACTTCCTGACTCCCCAAAGTCCACAACCTATAAGGTATAAATCAGAAGGGTGATGGAATACTCTCTATTTCTAGGTGAGTACAGCTTCAACAACACTCAATAAGTTTAACACCACCTAAGTCAAGGCAGCCCACTCGATTGTCATCCTATCCACCAACACCAACTCCCTCCACCACCAGAGCACTATAGCAACGGTTTGTAGCACTTACAAGATGTACCACAGCAACTCACCAAGGCTTCTTCAATGGCATCTTCCAATCCTCAACATCTACCATCTAGATTGTCAAGGACAGTCAAGGCCCCAGCAGTATCACCACCTATAAGTGCCCTCCAAGTAACACGTCATCTTCAATTGAAGCTCTATTGCCATTCCTCTGTCACTGCATTAAAATCCTGGGACTCCCTTCCTAATAGCACTGTGTGTGTGTCTGCACCTATTCCCAGTTGACTGTAGCCATTCAAAATAAAAGATTTGGAAGAATGACTGCCATATACACAAGGAGACGATAAGGACTGCAGATGCTGGAAGCCAGAGTCTGTAGGTGTGAGGCTGGAAATGCACAGCAGATCAGACAGCATCAGAGGAGCAGGAAAGTCCACGTTTCCGGCCGAAACCCGTCGACTTTCCTGCTCCTCTGATGCTGCCTGACCTGTTGTGCTTTTCCATCCTCACATCTACAGACTTATACGCAAGGATCTTGGTATCAGCATAAATGTCACAACCACCGAAGACTTAGGTGCCCTCAGGTGGTGCTCGCAGATTGGATGCGATGTCGAATTTCCGCATCAATGTCAGCTTTAGATGAGAGGTAGCTTACCAGGCAGGCAAAATGTTCTACATTTGGGAGGATTTCTCCTTTGATTTTAAGAGAGGGATGGACCGGAATTTGACCCAGGACAGGCTGGTAAAGGATTTGATTCTGCATGTGGTTGAGGCTGAGACCAATTCTTCGGTACGCTTCTGCAAAAGTGTTAAGTGAGGTTTGAAGGTGCTCTTGCAAGAGAACAGAGATGACGTTATTTGCGTACTGAAGTTCCACAAGCGAGGTTGGCGTTGTTTACTTGTTGGATTTCTTCTATATGGCTCTGGAACTTGGACCATGTACAGATGTCACCTCAACAAGTACCATCAAACTTGTTTGAGATGAATTCTGCACATCAGCTGGGAGGACAGGTATACTAACATCAGCATCCTTGAAGGAACCAATAGCTCCAACATCAAGGCCATTATCATTCAAAACCAACTCCTCAGGGCTGTCCACGTGCTTAGGATGCCCGAGTTTTCTAACTGCCAAAGCACATACCTTGCCAAAATAAATATCTTGCTCCATTTTCTTGCTTTATTTTCTGTATTTCAAATTGGCGCCGGAGCTTGGCAACACTAAACAGTTTTCACTGTGTTCGTATACAAGTGACAATGAATAAATCTAATCCAATCTAATCTAATCTAAATTATTTATGCCCAGCTCAAGGAAGGCACTCAAATGAGGGAGGACAAACGAAGCATTTCAAAGACTGCCTGAAGGCTTTTCTCAAGAAATGCAACATTGACATGAACATGTAGGAGACCCTCATTCAGAAGAAACCCACCTGGAGGAATCTCTTGTATGAAGGGACACAGTTCTTTGAGAACACCCATCGGCAAGAGAAAGTACAGAAAAGGTACTGGAGAAAGGAAGGCCAGCAGTCTCGAGGCCAAGGTTCAATTCCACTTCCCAGAGACTTGCCAAATATGTGGTTGGAATTATGGCTCTAGGATCAGGCTCATCAGCCACACAAGGACCCACAGAACCAGTGACACAGAATTTCCGAAGTGGAAAATCATATTTGTTAGCAAGTGATTGCCAAAGATGATGAGTGGTTCAAGACAGCAGCTGACCATCATCTTCCCAAGGGCAGTTTGGGATGGACATTAACTGCTGACTCGCCAGTGATACCCACATCTCATGAATGAATGAGAAAGAAAAGAAACAAAAGTCAGGTTCTCTTAACTGAGAGTGTGCTATCCAAGACATTTGTTCAGGTTTCCACATGATAAAGAGTGTGCTGCCGATTGAAATAGTAGAATCATGGATTTCAGTATTTGGTTACAAGACTGGTTCTGCTCACTAAGGCAGAATTCATCAAAGTAAGAGAGGAAGCACTGAAAGTTTCTTTAAAATGCTACTTTAGCTTTATTTAAGTAGCATAGGTTAAAGGTTCAGCAGGGAAATGTGGGAAAAAAAAGCAACTACGCTAATTAAAACCAAATATTAGACAACCTGAATTGATTTTAGAAAGAATAATATGTGAACACCGAGTCAAGAGATATGAAGCTGGAAAAGTACAGCAGGTCAGACACCTTCCGAGGAGCAGGAAAGTCAACATTTTGGGCTGTCAGTCCTGACAACAGGTTTCAGTCCAAAACGCTGACTTTTCTGCTCCTTGGATGCTGTCTCACCTGCTGTGCTTTTCCAGCTTCACAACTATTGACAATATCTGAACACAGTTGGAATACTGGGAATGTGTTTGTGTCCACAATGATTAAAGAAACAAAAGGGCCTCGTATGGTGATTTGGTCAGAAATATAGATGAAGACAAAGCACGGCAGAAGAATTAGTCAAGCAGTTTATATCGAGAGCTGAAGGAGGATGTGTGTACATTGATTGTTATTCAGAGAAAAATTTTGGAAATGCCAGAGGTCAGTGCTAATATCTGCACATTACAAATGCATTCTGCGTGGAGCAGGGTAACATATGATGTAGATTAGGTCATTAGGATTCTGCAGGCCAAAGCTAATCAAGTGGTAGGTTTCAGTTTAATACAATTTAAGAAGCATTAAAGGATCTGTGTGAAGTATTATGGCCTTGTTTAGAGACAAACATGGCTATTTATGTTGCTTCTCTTTTTGCATTCCTTCACATTCCAGATGTAGTCACAGGCACAGTTGTGCAGCATTCAGGGATATAAAGGTAAAGTTGTCATTGTTCTACCAGACTATAAGGCTGCTCTTTTCTTATTGAGAAACTGGTAGTGGTTAACCTGAGGACCTCTATGCCTCAGGCGAGGGGTAAGGTTGAGAAGGTGGGACCTTCATGGTAGCCTCAGCCAATGCGAAAATTGAATCTATGCTATCACACAGCCACCTAGGGACATACTATAACATTGATGGACGTAAGTTAATATGACAGGAAGGGAGTCTTGGGATTCAGTATCACCCACTTCTGAAAGCTCCAAGTGAAGTAACAGAGAGCTATGTCAAAGTGAACTTGCTCCTGAGTCACATGACTAGGTCTGTTTATTATAAAGGTAGCAATTGGGTTATAAGACCTTGCCTGAAAGTATTTACCATTTGATCCCAAAAAGGATACTTCGGACTCTTCAGAAGACAGCTAGAGAAGGGCAATGAAGCTAATTATGACCCAAGTGCTATGATCTGAGTAATTAACAGGAATAATGGAATCTTGTGCTGAGTGTGCAAGCATTTTATTGTAATTTTGTGTAGGCAACTAATACTAGGTAAGCTTGTATCTCAGAATATGCCACTTTCCATTTGCCATACTGATTTCAATTTTTCATGTATAGATACAAAGTTTGGGCCTTCAGTTTTTCGAAGTTAAATCCTAAATTAATTCAATATTCATCCCTCCAGATGAAACTCTTGGTTACAGGGAATGAACTATATTAGGTTCTGAAAAGATTTTACATAGATTAAAGGCATTGATAATTAGGTGTATTTATATCATAGTTATATGGATAGGACTTGACTGAAAAATATACAAACGTTTGTTTGATGAGAAAATACTCATCAAGTCTCAGACAGTTAATAACATTTTGAAGATTCTTTGCAACTGTA